GGTTGTGTGAATTTGATATATTATTTGTACCTTAAAAATTCCTGAATTTTGGCGCCAATAATTTTGGGACACCCTGTAACATAAAAATTGCTTAGAACCGGTGGTTCCATTCTTGCTCGGGTGAGCAAGTCAGCCAAACAAATGGAATACATTAATGGAATAAAGCCCTGTGAGGCGAGATTACCTTCAGAGAGGATTGGTCTGAATTCTAATGTACGGGTATATGTACATATATCAATTTTCTCATACCGACTCTTTTTCACCACGACCTGAAAGCATTTTCATTTTTATGTGTAACATTAATTCTACAACTCTCGAAACCATCTATGCATAGTCTAGATACTTTATCAGTAGATACATTATACAAATGAATTAACTTTGTGACAATATTTACATTCGTGTAGCGGAGGTTCAGGTTCAACAGTCATTCGTTCTCAAAAGAGATTCAATGAAGAAGAGACCAATAGAATCAATTACATACCAAGAGTGAATAATGTTTGCTCCTTGAGAAACTACTATCTGAAGCTGAACGGCTATCAGATTTGATTATAAGCAGTAAAAGAAATTTGAATGTCCCGAAAAGAAAACAAGGAGGCAGAACGCATGGTATGGCATGGGGTACTCCTCGACCGACCTGTCCATCTGAAGCTACGCTCTGAGTTTGAGCTGCTTACTGTTCATGAGAAGCCTGTTTCTGCCGCGTGGTCAAACGTTTTGGTCAGAGGGGATAGGAAATAATAAGGAAAACGTAGTCTGGTCCACAAAAGCTGCTTTCAAAATAGTCCTATCGAAATCAAGGATGTCCAAAGGAGTGTGTGTGCGGTTTGATGACAATTTTGCTCACTTCCGTTCGTTGAATTCCAAACAGCGCCAGCACTCGACAGCGTATCGTCTTGTTTAGACTGAGGTACACAATTCCGGGTAGTCCTGAAGCCATCAAGTTGCAATTAGTCGATTACAGAACGTTGGTTCGAAGATTTATCTGTCTACAGCTCTGCACATGTTCGCTGAGTGCTTAGTAAGAGAATCAGAAGCTTCAAAGAAATACTTCAAGGAGCACCAGAAGTATTCAGGTGTCGCTTACTCACCGTGATTGCCAATCCAAGCAAGGTTACTAATAATCGTGAAAATGCTCGGTACAGGAAAGTACTGGGTGTACACATAGAGGAAGCACCCGACAAAATGACAACCACAGATTACCATTGATTGCAAGATAATCTGAAATAGTCAGCGTTTCGTTTTCGGAGGTATCGCCTAAGATTTTTGCTGGGTGGGTCCTGATCGTTTGAAATCGCCACTATATTTTAACATTACCAACTAAATATTTTGAGGGATTTTTGCAGCATCTCGAGATTTTGCACTTCAAGTCTAGAATAACAAAAGGATTCAATAAATTAGTGTCTCATCAGGACGGCCTATGCTTTTCTTCATAATGATGGCTTCTGCCACCACGTACGTGGTCAAGTGATCGAATTCCGTTCAAACAGAAAAAGCCTTTCACATTTCCTCTTCTACTCTAGCACTAGCGTTTTACTTTAGAAAAAGAAGTGAATTTAGCAGTAAGTTTTGTACGCCGATAACTGTTTCAAGTTTTAAACCATGGTGAATGGGAGTCTAAATATGACGCTCTCTGAGAAGAATTCATCAGCGCTTACTACTTAATAATTTACCGAAGTATTGCGTAGTGTTTTTTGATCAAACGTGAACGATCGCACCCAAATGATCCATCAGTCAATAGCTCACTGCTTTGCAAGATGGTCTTCCGTTGTGCAGTTCTCATTGATTCCATCAAAGGATTCGTAGAGGTTAGCTCATGACATACCCAGTTAAATCGCTTCACCTATTCGCCACCACCACTTATAAGAAATTATAAGATGCCAATTGTTTCACTTCCTCCGTCGGTGAAGTCATCATTACCATTATCAAACAGCTTTAACCACGCAGCACCGGAATGAGTCTCCAGAAAAGGTAGAAATCACCGATTCTACGGATGACCTTCCCCGCAGAACTCAGCAACCGAAAACCAACTTGTTTACATCCTTTCTTGTTGATCGAAAGCTATATTTAATATATAACCATTAACCTCATTTGGCTGGAACTTGTGGTTTTCCGTTTTTCTTACTTGGAAATTATACCTGTTTTGTCATTGTGGATATACGACTGGCTTGATTCCTTTTTATTTGATAAGCCAGACTTGCGCAGATAATCGGATAGAACGCTAACAAGCAAACAATCACTATACTATTGTTGATAGTATGTGGCAGGTTGGCGTACTGTAATATGAAAATGATATTAATGGAATCAGACTGAACTTAGATCACTAAAAGGGTAGTGCACAAAGCGCCAAGAAGTGCTGTCTACTGCAGGGTCTGCTGCGTTTATACTCTATTGACCTGTGTTGTGACGCAATAAATAACTGACAGATTTTGAATGACACTTACTTCCACAGAACACTCAGAACAAGTAATTAATTTGTTCAAACTCACGATGTGGGGGTCCAATTGTTGTGAAATGTTGGTACGTGGATCGAACAGAAAAGTGTGTAACCTTGGGTCGTACAAAAGAGGACGTTCGAAGAATGTGAAGAACATAAAGTAGCATGTGGGTAGCAGTATCCAGAAGTACATGAATCGACCTAAATCACAAAGATTCAGCTGTACTGATCTAGCGAAAAACTTCGGGTAATTTTCCTTCAAAAACTGGAACAATCCTATGCTGTCTTTTTTCTTGCTCCGTCTGCCCCGTCAAAGTAGGCAATAATATGATATGCTTTTTTGATGTCCTTCTCTGGCGCCTCCACGGATGCATTGGGGATTCTTCTTTGGTTTTACAGTTGAGCAGTTAACATGGCTAACGTTTGGAGTGTATAGTTAATCAGTAGGTATAATTTAAAGGATAAAAAGGCAGATTTCAGTCAGACCTCCTCACTGGCTTGTTATGCTACTATTATGTAGTGCACATAGACAGCAACTTGCATTAACGGGGAGCGTTCTTTCCATTCATAAAACCTCTACTGCATAGAAGCGCTGCAGGCTCCATATACTCCATCGTGACCGTGCATGCCTCGTGAAGTGTGGATTGGGACGAGTTTATTTCCCGAACAACATTCTAGAGTACTTTAGGCAGTAGCTGAGTATACCTTCAAAAATGTATGCTTTAGATGGGATCATCAGCTCCCATGTCCGATTGAAAGCCAGGAATACACAACAGAAACACGTAGCGGCCCACAATCCTGAAATGGCAAACAGAATATTTACGGCTAGTCATTATGTGAGTTTATTGACTTTTTTTGGTGTTTTGAGTATTTTTCCCCTAACTTTTCAAGATTTCGTGGAGTCATCTCCTGCACAATATTTAGTATTCCTATTCTTTCCGCAGTTTGTATGGTGCTTGGATGACAATCATTCAGCCGTAAACAAAGCGCCATTCATGGTTGTTTTGTGTCTATTTAATAGTTCTTCTTTCATGAATTGTCTGTCGATGAGGTGCTTATTCGTAAGAACTACGATTCGATTCAACTTGGCCTCACTTGGACGGATTATTTTCCAACAAGATTAGTTTAGACTACCATTTGCGAAGTACTGGAAGTTAATGGCAGATAGGACGGCTGGAGTAGAATGGGGTGTTCCTGGACGGAAATAAGTCATAGTCTGCCGTCTTTATGATAGTAGGGCAACGATGATATTGTAGGGTAGCTTGTACTTTGGTGCACAGGGCGACAACTAGCGATAGTTTACGACAATAGGTACAGTAAACGACAGTGGTTGGCAGTGTACGGGTTTGAAGGTATGTACTATAATGGCCGCATTACCCTAAGTGTTCGTAAGCGTAACATTGCGCGGAAACGTCCTGTGATGACTCACAAACATGGAAGGTGTACTCCTGTCACTGAATAATCTCTGTCTTCACAGAGTTAGTCATGCCACGAATATTTTAGTACTGTACCTACACATAAGAACATCATTATGTATTTGGTAATGGAGCATAGCGGGTAGACCTCACATAAAGGGTATTGAGCCTAGAAATTGTAGTGTTTACTCATTGAATGATTTATGTCTGGAAAATTGTAGTGTGATTAAGGAATGAGGAACGAAAACCATCTGACGATGGCTAATCCGAATATGACAGCTCAAATGTAAAGTCTTGTCTAATTGTCTGAAAACCAATATTATGCGTAACTCGAAGATCTACAGCTCACAAAGACGCCAGTCCTTCCACCCCGTCAACTCCATAGTGCTATAATGGCAGATATCGAATCATTAAGAGTGTGTAGGATGTGTTTATACTTAGTGAGCAGGAATGGCGACAAGAGAGACACGGCTCTTTTTACATTATGGTGTCGCCTTGTAGAACTTGAGCAACGGCCATGTATGTGTTTTCGACTAGGAAAGTGTCAAACAATAACGTGAAGAACTTACCCATAGAAATATTGCCCAGGATGTAGGAAACGAGTGGGGAGTGGCAGTAAGTCTGACCCGTGATTTGCCAAATTCCAGCTAAATCTGCGCAAATTACGAGACAGATGACGTCGACAACTCCCATGTATACCTGAAAGTAAAAGATTATTGAAGGAAAGCTATTCATTGTTAATTTTAATTTAAATCACACTAAAACTTCTGTTTATTGAAAATTCCTACCATTATTTTGAAACACGGCATTTGAAATAAGGGTGGCCGAGCCATAACAATAATACAAGGAATGTACATAATTTGGCAGAATACTCCCATTAAAAGGTACATAAGACCAATTCCAAGATTCGGGTAAAATGCATCGACCGTCCCGTGGCATTTGTACATCTGCTGGCTGAAATTGTGTTGATTCGAGTAAAATTGATTGAAAAATTGTTTTCGTACAAAAAAGCCCACTTGGGATAGAGTTCTCTGTGGCCGAAAAGCAACGCGTATAGCATTTTTTAGGTATGGATCGAGTTCTTCACGCTGAAATGAATTCGGAATTATGAGTTAATATTATCGAAATTTTCTGCCGCATACATGTGGTACATACTGTAATGGTTACCATAAGGACAATTTAGGATCCGCCCCCTTATTGCAGCCCCATTTCGAAACAGAAGCCTGGGGAGGGAAACCTTTTCCCACAGTGATAGCGGGAGTTTAATTTTTAGAAAAGACTGCGTTACGCAAGTGGACGACCGAAGGTCCACCCTTTCACAGTAGTTTTTGAAAAGGCGGACCTAAAAGACGTCACAGCCAAAGGTTGTTCAAAGATCTGCTCAGTCAACATATGCTTGCTTGGAATCTACGAGGTAGAAAAGCTGGCGCCTCTGTGATCAAAAGCCGTAGATCTTTGAGTTACTCAGAATAATGGTTTTCAGATGATTAGACAAGACTTTATAGTTAAGCTGTCATCTTTGAATTAGCCACCCTTAAATGGTTTTTGTCCTCGATTCCTTAATGACGCTACAATTTTCCAGACGTAAATCATTCGATGAGTAAACACTACAATTTGGAGGCCCAGCACTTTTGCAGGGCCGCCATGGTCCATTACCGAGTATGCTTCTATGTATTAGTACAGCTCTAACAGAATTGTAGCATGGCTAACTCTCGAAGACAAAGATCATTGTCTTTCACAAGTAAACCTTCCATCTTGAGAGTCATCGATGGACGTTTCCGCATTGTTGGTCGTACGCTTACGAAAATTTTAGGGTACACCCAACGTTTCTTCTCCAGATTTCACCCTCTTCCCCGTCGGGTAGCCGGGTACATTCGGATACATGGGTTCCAAGCCTTTGTTCAATTCAATTTCTGAGTGAGACAGCCCTAGCGAAGGTATGCCTAGTTAGCAGTTACCTACTTCTGAAAGGTCCAATCAAGCGAGTAGCACATTCCACAGTTTTCTCGTGCATGCGACTATTCAGAAGGAATTCCTGTTGGTGTGCTCATGGAGAGAGTTAACTACATCTATGGATCAACAAATAAGAGTAAAAAGGAGCAGGATTATCTTCTGAAGATCACATCTACCAGCGTAATCTGATAAAGAGAAGGGTAGTGCTTTTGAATATGTGGTTGTAGACCTTTGTAATTACCAGCTATTCAGATTCTCGACAGAAAATTTGGTATTTCACTTGATAAAATTGAATGGAAATACCACACTATTTAAATGATCGTGGTCGCTTTGGTTGTTGTGGGAGAAAAGAGTCACTTATTAGAAATATGAACATTCGTAGGAACTGTGGAATAACTCAATGACACGGTAGTAACTACATACTAATGAGAGAATCTTCTGTCAGCCGGCTAATCCCACTGGCGTAGTTGGGCATGTGCCCGTACATGAAATTAATAATTATTTTCCACTTCCACATTCTTGGCGTCATTTGACACTAATGGGCAAATGGGCTCCTCTATGAATTACTTCCGCATGAAGTTCTTTGAAGCAACAATACGGTACTACTGTTGGGCCCCCTACTTGTTGATGGTGTGAAAAATTGTGCTCAGCCAAGCTTTCGAATCTGTTTGAAGTTTATCTTAAAGAAGTTTCTATTGTGTTTTTGAAAACATTTTTGGAATGAGAAGTGGTCAACAATGAAAACCAAACTAATGCGGAAGTAGGGGCGAATTTACTAGTTCTTACGAGGATTATTTACATAGATTGTAGTGAAGGGATGAGAGTGTTCAAGAACTGTGAATCCATGTCTGGAAATGACTTTTCAACAGTCATCACCGTCCTTGTATAATATAAATATGCGTCGTAAGAGAAATCTTGTGTATGATCCCTTCTTCAATGTTAGTTAATTGTAGTGGGGAGTGCAGCTCTAGCATAAACATGGTCTGGGGATCAAAAACCGAATCGAGAGTGATCGTTAGGATGGTGCTAGGATGCGACATTGGAAACCTCCCTGTTTCACATGGCAACATCACTGCATTAACATAGTAAAGAGAACTTCGAAGAATGTCTTCAAAACCATTCCGAGGCACAGCAAGGGGGAGAATGATTTGTAGGATGCCCTATAATGGTAAACCCTGGGAAGCTACATGGTGTTGTCTAGTTGTAAAATGATCTAGGAGCAGCACAATATTGGCTGAGTTCGTTCAGAATGTGTGCGTGGTGAACGACATCTCACGACGGCGGTTACCGATCGACCGCATGTTGGATACTGTACCCGCGCATACAAACAGTAATCAGCTTGCTTGTTACTATGTAGTATGAATTGACGTCCGAGCCAGCGGTCTCGTCATAAGTGCTGTGAAAGAAGAGGTGTTATGAGAGCTCTCTTTCCGGAGTTTTTGCGATCTTTTCACCAGTACTCAGCACTGGGGTCTTGGTCTCTTAACCCAAGGTCTTTAAGGTCATCGTTAGTCCTGACTTTACGCGCTTTTGTAGGGAAGGAGATGTCCAACGCAGCAACTTCAAGTTACTGACAGCCATTTAGACTACTGGTTCCTAAGATAAGTGATTGACGAGTCATATACGGGAGATGTATGGTCATGAAGTCGTGTACGAACTGAGAACGCTAGAGTATGATATATTAAGGGTGCTGCCATATTGAGGATCAGGGCGATTGCGCTGCTAGGTGATAGATCTGATCTCCTACTCGGCCAGATACTGTAATAGTAGTGCAGGGCTATATAAAATCATTCCGATGTATTCAGTTTACTGTCTAGTCGAGTTGCATAAGTCATCAAGTAATTATTACGACATTTATTAAATATTCATAAAGTAATAAATTCGGAGAGGTGGAAGAATTTTCAGCTGCAGTGATTCAGCATAAACAATCAGCTGTGTTTTTAGGTTTTTAAATTGAAATTGAATCTGCGCATTGACTAAGAGCGATAAAAACCGTGTTGATGCAAGCGAGAAAGGGACGGAACAATTTAGGGGTCAAGTTGAAAAAACGATGCGCTCCCTCATTAGGGGGTGAATTAATAAAATGTGATCCCCTCAGGCGTTTGTTATGAGATAGTGGTACATAAAAATGAGCTCAAAAATGTTGCGAGAAAACTCATTAAAAACGACCACTGTTCGCAACACGGAAGTTCTAAGTGCGAGTTCTGTCGACAAGCGATTGAAATAATAAAGTTAATTCCAAACGACATACTTTTCTTTCTCTTCTATCTCTTTTTTCGTTGCAAACTATGAAAGGTGTGAATAGCTGGCTTTCAGTTAGTGAATACACGCAACTGACTGAAGAGGGTTAGTTGAACCACTTTCATCCAACGCTGTCTGCCTGGTGATTGGCCTCAAGGGGCGATACATGGTTGTCAGTACCAGTCGAAGCTTTTTATACTCTACAATTTCCTCGAACTTCATTATTCTTCCATGTCTTTCACTGTTCCTCTATATGGTTGCCCTCAGCTCCTTCACTCGTTGCACTGAAGGAACTGTATGCAGCACTCCGATACCACAACCGATGCGCAACGCACACTTTTAGACAAAGTATAGATGCGTGTTTACTTGCTTCACAGAATTTTTTGGGAAACTGATAGGTGGTGCAGAAGACCCCAAAGACACTTTATTTATTTATTTACTTATTTTACATTTCCGTGCAAGTGTAGTAAGGCTCAAATTACTGGAGAAATGGAAGGTTCGGTTGGGCTAGATCGAAACCGATTTGGAATTTGACTTAGATGGTAACGGGTATGGTAGCGAGGTTGCTCACCGTGGCCCTTAAAACGAAAATGACAAAACTTTCATGTCGGTTTTCCTTGTCTTGAGGATGAGGATGGCAACTGACAAAAATTAGAAGAAGGTACATACTTAGTCAGATGAAGGGGGCAGTGTTATGCACGATCACCTCTTTTAGAAGGAAGGGGGGAGGGGTTACCATTAGAGAAGGAGCTATTATGAGCTTTAGATGTTGTAGTTTGCTGCATTAGAAGGAACAATCAATGCGTTGTGTCTAACGTGTCATACAAGAGCGTTAATAATACAATACAAGAAGTCAATATCGTCTTCAATTGAGTTCCGTTTGAGACCCACCATCTCCGACTACCCATTAGGCAGTAAAAGCGTAAGACTCTCGTTTCTGTTCTCGATCATAGAAGCGTGAACGTCATTTATTACAATGCGGACATCGGGTCGCAATAAAGGTAACAGAAGTGAAATTAAAAAGTGCTCAGAAATCACAGTCATCTCGACAAGGAAAGGCCACAAATTGAAAGGTAGGTAAATAATCACATAAAGAGTACACAGTTACTGACCAAGTCCTACGACCTTTCTAGAAGCTCTGATTGCGGGTATGGTCTCCAATGGATTTACACGACCAGCCTAATTGAACAAAAAGAACCCGGAAATACGGACTACCCACGGTGGCGTGGCCTAGCACCCAGACGGTGTGCACGGGTGACATCGCTATGAGATAGACCACGGATATCGCTGTACAGAGGCGTTTGGATACGGTGGCACTTTGCCAAATTCAGCTTTTCCCCCTTCATTAAGTTAGTATACGATCTCTAAGAAATAGCAAAAACTCATTTAGGCATCGTCCCCACCTTTATCATTCACCCAATGAGCCGTATTTGTTGGAGGTATAAAAGTGGTAGAAGGTTTTCGGAGTGTCAGTGTCCCATTACTGCTATAAATGCCAACCTAATGTGCTCGTGTGGGCTATTCCTAGCATCAAGGGAGGGGAGTGTCTATCGCTTTCGAAAGGGATTTGTCACGGGAAGACCCTATTTTAATGCTACGGTAATAGGGGAATTATCAACGGTGACTGTATGGACAGTCATTTCAGCGGTGCCACAACGAGAGATAAACGTTCGGACTTGATCCACTGAGATGCCATCCTTCAACCAAACATATAGGAAGCCGCCCCCTCCGGCACCGGCAAGCCATGCGGTTTCGATGAGACTCTCTCTGAAAGTAATGCAGATTGCATTCCCTGATATTACTAGCGATAATCGGTGATGAACCTCTTCAGCTGAGAAATGAGGCACGTTACGATCTCAGGCTCACATCCGGTAGCAAGAGTTTTCTTTGCATTGTAATACAATTCGATCAGTTCACAAGGCATTGTTCCTAAAAGACCAATTGGCTATAGTGAACGCATTGACAGTTTTCACCTTCAAAATTATTTTAAGAAGTCCTAGCAGTTATTACATATCTACTGAGCATAATTATTTTAGTGATCACGTCGTTGATTAGATCAGCTGAGGCGACCAATCAATATTACGTGTGCCATTTATGTCACGAAATTCCATCAAGCTTTGTAGTTGATATACGCCAAGTGGTAAGCGCATCAAGTAACACACAAAACCCAATCGATACCGATGTTTTTTATTTTTACTTAACTTTTACTGCATTTGCGCTACTGTTGAAGGGTTTTCAAAGGGAGGACGTAGTTTGAGTGGAAGTCCTCTACATACCTTCTTTTATGCTATCGACGAACTGAACAACGTTACTCTCCAGCGAAGCGATCACTTCTCGAATAGGCCCTCCGGAAAACCACCCACGAACGACTTCCTAGAAAACGCAGTATTCCGAATCAGCCATTATGATCGTATAGATAGATTTCACTGAAAAGTTTTTGGCGTCATCAGTTTATTGATGGAGTGCACTAGTCATTTGGGTCTCATTCAGAATCACCGTAAGAGCTACATTTCTTCCGAACCTACTAAAANAAAAGTCTTCATTTGATACTTTATTCTTCGAAAGTCGATAACGAAAAAAGGTGCTCTGCCGCGGCATGAAAAATTGACTTTACAGAAACCCTGGTTTACGAATTTCCTGAGCGAAAGAATCCATCTCCTACGATGGCTTGGACATTGAATTGCTCGATTAATGACTTGCCATACTGGAGTGAAATTTTTGATGAGACCGATGCTGATCGTCTTCAAGCGGACTTCAGCGGGCTCTTCGCCGGTTTTGACAGACCATAAATGAGTTATAAGCTAGTACTAGGCTTCTTCAACAAGTCGCAGTTCGCGGAGGTTCCTCCTCCTCCTCTGAAGGAGTTTTCATTGCCTCTTCTCAAAATGGTGGGAGGAAATGCTTTGAAGCCCCACAAGTAAAATAAAATTCATCACCTGAAGAAGATTTTTGGCTAGTCTGGTTTTTCCGGTGTATACGAGCACCATGCGACTATTGATCTCTTTTTCAAACTCCTCTTTGATATCTATTTTCTCCACGTCTACACAGTCATCAGTCTTGTTGAAGAAACCTTAAATACCGTGCTCAAAACACATCGACTTCTTGAAACCCAAAAGTTTAAATTTTGTTTGCCAGAACACTTTGAACTTTCTATCAACGTCTGGAAGATTTGAGTGAGACCTTTCTTGATTCCTGGATAGAGACAGCCAACTTGATCCTGCCATCCACCGCCTGTAGTCAACAGCTGTTCTACCATTAGCACCTAAAGCTGATGTAGTTCATTGCATTCCGCATGTTTCTTTATGATTTTCATTAGCACTGCTCCACTAGGCTTTTATCTTCTTGAGTATTATTTTCAGCGTGCTGGAATATACAAGTTTTTTTTGTTTTTATTGAGTCCTCAGTCTTCACGAGGATAGTTTCTAAATAGTTTGACAGATGCACATACTACGCTGAGTCGCACTCCCGCAAGGTTCCGAAGAAGATTTGAGATAGGTAGCTTTGTGCACTGGGATACTCTTTGACATAGAATATCGTGTGTGCTCCTAGAGACCCCCGTGGCCTGTAAGGACAGTCGACGAAACAGTTTTCTTTCTTCTGCGTTTTCTTACCTAAGCAACCTTCAGTGGCATTGGTTAAGACTGAATTGGTCCCATTTAAGGTGACTTCACTTTGATTTCGATTGGTATTGCTAATAACTACATGAGTCTTGATCTTGAACGGATGCTGTTTCCGTTATCCAAAAAATCCATTCAAAAAGACCAATCTACTGCCCACATCCTTTTCCATCGAAAGTTATTCCGGTAAGGTAGTGCAGACGACCAGAAAGTAGGCATGACTCTACCAACCACGTTTAGGCTTTCCAAATTCACCTTCGAGAACAATTCAGGTAAGTTTTGGATTTCGTATTCAGCACATCAACCCATGAGCAGTTCCAGGAAGGATGAGATAAGGCGCTTTCATTAAAAGAGTAAGCCTATGTATACGAACTATTAATTTTGAGAAATAAAAAACGATAAATGACGTACAGCGTGACAGATGCTCTTCTCCGAATAGTGGAACCCACTTGCTAATCCTAACGCTTGAATAATGGCTGCGGCTAGTGTCGATGACGTCCCAAGACCTTAATGCCGTTAGTTTAATTTACTTAGAAAATATCACCAATCACCTTAATTATACCAGATCCATGAGGTAGGCAAGAAGTACACTCGATTTCCAAGCCCGTGGTACCGAATCGGTTCTGGAGGGTCTCCAAAAGATTGTCTTCAGGTCCACTCGGTACACAAACACAGATGAGGCAGGCACATACCAGTGCCCCTAGGTTGGTAAGACTTGGTCTCAAGAGAGAAAGCAACTTGTTTTCAAAGCTATGAACAAATAAAGCTTACCTGGATTACGCGGCTTGTTGTATGACTCGTATATATCTTGGGAGCATGAGAGTAATACAGTTGTATCCCCACATCGTATGGTAATGCCAGCATCGGGAACATGTCGCACATGGCAAGCTATTGGTTTCTGAAATGCAGACTTCTACTTTCGAAAAATTGACAGCGACTGTGTGGTATACGATTGTATTAGTAAAAATACTCATAAGCTGAGCTTAAATTAGGTCTTAAGAGTAACGCCTACCTTTCCATCCACAAGAATGGCCATATTCACGACAGCCGAAGGATTGGCGCTTAAGGTGATTGGAGGAGTATCTAGCCAACCACCGAAAAGATCAACCTGGAATTAGGAAGCATTGAGTTCTTAGTATAGCACTATTTGCCTGAGGTTTTCGTAACAGCTGCTTGTGTATGGGACTAGGTTTACCCTAGCCGCAGCTTCCACTGTGACGCTCCGTGGGATAGTATCCTTTGATCCATTCGGTATACCAGCGAAATGCTAAAAGGAGCAACATGTTTGACAGTCTTCATTCTGTAATGTAGTAACTTTTCTATCTTAGTTTGGGTGAAGTTAGGAACTATTTGCAAAGAACTCGTGTTACCTACTCTCATTTCATGTGCACGGGTCTAAAAAATTATATTCAAAATGCATTGGTTCTCGAGAGGTGTTTGCCTACAAAGTGAGATGGTGGAATCTAATTCGAAGGGCATAATCTAACCTTTCGACAAATCATATCCACTTCGTGCTGTGTATAGATCTGTGCAGCAGCTTCCAGATGACGTGCTGAAAGTTTACGTATTGAAAGGCGGTCAGTTATATCTAGGAAGCACACATAGTCAAAGTTGCTTCTGTAATTTTTTGATTCTGTGACGCTCTTAGTTGAAGATTCCTATCTGCTGACTTCGAGCTTCCAGAATTGCGAGACTTTCTTAATAAGTTCATGACGATTTTTAGTCATCACTTTACTTCACAGTCAAGGATGAGTAGCATGTTCAACTTTGGAGCGAAAACTGCAAGGATATCAGGGAAGCCCTAGTTAGAACCATTCAAGAGAGAGCTGTTCCTCTTTGTGTGATGTCACTACCCTTTCTTGGATGTGAGCAGAAAATGAAAAAAAAATTTGACCGATCATTCGCAAGTATAGCACAAGTATTGGGTTGTAACATAAGTTCGTAGAGTTTTTTCACAAAGATTTATCTGAACCAAAAAACAATAATTATAATAATAAATCAACCAATGATGTATCCTCCGTTACTGTTCACGACCTCTTCCCATCTCTCGACCAATTTGTTGATGGCGATTCGCCGAAAATCGGCCGTTGTGGTGTTGAAGAATTTGTTGAGCCAGTTTTTAAGGTCCCCTTTGCCATCGAAGGTAACACCCCTCATTGGGTTTAACATAGAGCGGAAAAGGTGTTAGGTGCAGGTGCAAGTTTCGGAGGGTGCGCTGGATGCTGAAAAACACCCCATTCAAGCTCTTGGAGTGCTGTTTTGACGACTTTAGCAATATGGGGCCTGGTGTTGTCGTGGAGCAAGATGACTTGACCACCTCTATAAGGTCTTTTCAGCCGAATAGCCTCACTTACACTGTTCAGCTGGGTAATGTAGACCTCCTTGTTGGCAGTGGCGTTTCGTTCGAGCAGTTTCCCAGTGCACCATGCCTACCCAGTCCCACCAAACGCAGATCATGACCTTTTTTTGGGTGAAGATCTTGCTTGACTCTCGGCTTTGGCGCCTTCCCTGGGGTCACCC